AAGTGTCTTCACTTTGAGGCCTGTTCCTTACCCAGGCATCTCACCAGGATAAAGCCTGCCAGCAGAACACTGCAGCCTTGGAGTGGGAGGCCTAGCTCAGAGGAAACAGAACAGTGCAGTGACTGATACCATTCTGAGGAGGCAAACCACCTATCAGCAGAGACTCTTTTTTTCCTTAAGTAGTATGATAGCAAAATAAAAATGATGCTGAAAAGGCATTTGACAAAATTCAACATCCATTCATGATAAAAAAATCAACAAAATGGGTGTAAAAAGTACGTATCTCAACATATAAAGACTGTATATCACAAATCCACAGCTAATGTCACACTCAATGGTGAAAAGCTGAAAGCTTTTCCTCTAAGATCAGAAACAAGACAAGGATGCCCACTCTCACCACTTTCATTCAAAATACTATTGGAGGTCCTTGCCATGGCATCATAGAAGTTCAAGAGATAGAAGGCATCCAAATTGTAAGGAAGAAATCAAATTGTCCCTGTTTGCAGATGACATGATATATATATAAAACCCTAAAGATTCCACCAAAAAAACTATTGGAATGCATAACTGGATTCAGCAAAGTTGCAAGATACAAAATCAATAGAGAGAAATCTGTTGCATTCCTATACAATAACAAAGAAATAGCAGAAAGAGAAATCAGGAAAACAATTACCTTGACAATTGTATCAAAAAGAATAAAATACCTAGGAATAAGCCTAACCAAGGAGGTGAAAGATCTAAACTCTGAAAACTATAAGACACTCATGAGAGAAATTAAAGAAGACACAAATAAATGGATATCTACCCCATGCCAATGGATAGGAAGAATTAATATTGCCAAAATGGCCATGATGCTATTCTTTTTGTTAAAGTGCATGACATTGGTTGATTTTCAAAAACTGTACCATTCTTGCATCCCTGGAATAAATCCTACTTGGTCATGGTGGATGGTTCTTTTCATGTATTTTAAAATTTGGTTTGCTAGTATTTTGTTGAGGATTTTTGCATCTATGTTTATTAGGGATATTGGTCTAAAATTTTCTTTTTTCATAGTGTCTTTGTCTGCTTTTGCGTTAGAGTGATGCTGTCCTCATAGAATGGGTATGGAAGTATTCCCTCCTATGTTTCGGAATAGTTTAAGGATGGGTATTAGCTCTTTTTTACATGTTTGGTAGAATTCAGCTGTGAGGCCATCTGGTCCTGGTGTTTTGTGTTTTGAGAGTTTCTTAATTACCAATTCCATTTTGTTTCGGTAATTGGGTCTGTTCACATTTTCTGTTTCTTTCTGGGTCAGCCTTGGAAGGTTGTATTTTTAGGAATTTTTCCATTTCTCCTAGATTGTACAATTTATTGACATATAATTTTTCATAGAATTCTCTAATAATTCTTTGTATTTCTGTGTTATCCACTGTGATTATTCCTTTTTCATTTCTGATTTTGTTTTTGTTTATTGGTGTCCCCTCTCTTTTTTTCTTGATAGTTCTGGCTAGGGGGTTTGTCTATTTTGTTTATTTTCTCAAAGAACCAACTCTTGGTTTTGATGCCAAAAGTAGTTACAAATTCAATGCAATCTTTATCAAAATAGCAATGGTATTTTTCAGTGAACTAGAACAAATAATCTCAAAATTTATATGGAAATACAAAATACCCTGAGGAGCCAGAAGGGAATGGCATGAAATATTTAATGTATTGAAACTAAAGGACCTTCAACCAAGAATCCTCCACCCAGAAAGAATATCATTCAAATATGAAATAGAGATTAAAAGTTTCCCAGATAAACAAAGGCTGAAGGAATTTATAACCACTAAACTGACATTACAGGATATGTTAAAGGGACTTCTGTAGATAGAAATGTTCTTAAGCCTAAATAGTTTTCTCCAGTGAAAATAAACCTATAGTAAATGTGGTAGACCAATTACAAGCCAATCAAGAACAAAATTAAAACAAAACAACAGTAGTAAAACCAACCATAAACAAAATCAGTCAAGGATACACAAAAAGTACAGTTTATGACATCTGAAACATACAGTATGGAGAAGAAGAAGAAGAAGAAAAAATATACTTTTAGATTGTGTTTGAAACAGAGCAATCATCAACTTAATATAGACTGTTATATAGTTGGGAAGCTATCCATGAACTTTATGGTAACCACAAACCTAAAGCATAAAAAAGATACACAGAGAGTTAAAAAAGAGAAATCAAATCACAGCACTAAAGAAAACCAACAAATAACAAGAGTAGAATATAAGAGAGGAAGAAAAGAACAGAGAGGAGCAACAAAAACAACCAGAAAACAATTAATAAAATGGCAATAAGTACATACCTATCAATAATTACCTTAAATGTAAATGGACTGAATGCACCAATCAGAAGACATAGGGTAGGATGACTATTATTAAAAAATGGAAAATAATATGTGTTAGGATGTGGAGAAATTGGAACCCTTGTGCACTGTTGTTGGAAGATACAATGTACAGCTGATGTGGAAAGTTTCACAGTTCCTCAAAAAGTTAAACATACAATTACCAAATGATCCAGCAATCCACTCCTAGGAATACTCAAAAGCAATGAAAACAGGGACTCAAAGAGATGTTTACATACCTATATTCATAGTAGCATTATTCACAATTGCCAAAAGGTGGGAACAACCCAACTGGCCATAGACAGATGAATAGATAGACAACTGTGTTATATACATATAATGGAATATTATTCAATCTTATGAAGGAATGAAGTTCTGATACATGGTACAACATGGATGAACCTTGGAAACACACTCTACATGAAATAAGCCATAGACAAAAGGATAAATACTGTAGGATTCCATTTAATGAGGTACTTAGAATAGGTGAGCTCATATAGACATAAAGTAGGTTAAAGGTTATCAGAGGAAAGGAAGAAGGGGGAAATGGAGAATTTTTGCTTAATGGGTACTGAGTTTTTGTTTGGGGTAATGAAAAAGTTCTGGAAATGGGTAGTGGTGATAGTTGCAGAACATTGTTAATGTACTTAGTGCCAATGCATTGTACATTTAAAAATGGTTAAAATAGAAAATTTTGTTATGTTTTAGCACAATTTTTAAAAAAGAAACAAAATATTTAAAAGTGTGTTTTTGAAATTTTGAGTTTAAAGGAAGTAAATATTTTGAAATGTAGCAACAGTGTGTTGTTTCCCCCTAGAGAGGTAGGATTAATCATTCATTAATCCAATTACTGAATGCTCATCTTATATCTGTGCTAGCCTTGGCATCTGAAATACAAACTCTTTTGTCTGCTCCTCAAAATGTTTATGGGTGGTTGGGGAGTTAAAGCATCCACATATGATAAAAATAAATTACAACATAAGACATCATTATAATAGATATTTCAGGGCAGATTGTAGATGTGATCTTTTTGAATTCACATTATTTCTCTTTTTTAAATATATTCTCTTGTTTTAACTATAGTCAATTATCAAGGTTTTCTTTTTCCGCTCTTAAAACCCAAGTCTGCCTAGGTATCTTATTTATATCCATCATCCTTAAAAAAATTAAAAACTGGATCCAAAGTCCTCAATATCTTGTTAAACTCAGTAAACAGTCTCACCGTATATTTTGTTTTCTAAGTTAAACGTCTGTGTCATTTGTATATTTTAACTTAAATGTCTAGTGGGGAGTTGGAAGTGGATGGGATGCTCATGAATTATATGATTATATCACTTTGCATATACTTTATCTTATTCCTATTTTCTCTCATTGAAAAAAAGTCATAACTTTTCACTATGACAAAGAACAACTTTGTTTCACAATTTTCCATGTATTTTTTACATTCTAATAATTAGAAAATTTCCCAGAAATTGGAAGTGTAGTATCAAGGTAAAATGAGCCCACTTAGAATTGTTCAGGTAAATCTGTTTATTTTCCCATGAACTTCATAGCAACTAAAAATTTGAGAACTGACCTATTTTGGAACTGTTACAACACTATTACATCTAAATTAACTCATTATCTCCTTTTCAGTACTCCCATAATATCCTGTGCCAACTCTTATCAGTATTTCTCACACTGCATTGTTGTTATTGATTACATGTTTGTCTTTTCAAGAATGACCTTTATGCCTTTATTCCACATCTTGGACCAGCATTAGCAGCACAAATACAAAACCACTCAGACCTTCCGTGCTGATTCTCTATTTTTGATTGTCAGGGTAAGTAGGTTGACTGTATCCAGGGCAGGTTCCAAGTGACCTTCCTCAAAGTAAGAACTGGCAAATGATAGGGTACATTTTCCTCAGCTTCTTAAGAACAAATGGGGGTATTATGTATGTTAATGAGGACAATAAATATCAAGAATAGGGGAAGCATTCTAGTAGGTAGCAATATGGATTAATTTTGGAGATAGAATGCCGTGTGTAGCAAGCAGGGTGAATTTAAAGCTGCTGTGACAAGAGGGACAGTAACTCTGAACATGTCCAGGAAATTCGTTTAAGTTTTCTGTGAATATAGGTTATGGTACTGAGAGATGAGAATTGAGCTGGATTTCTATCTGCACTGTTTCCCCAAGTGAGAACTTATTGGTAAAGCCCTTTTCTGTTTTTTGGTGATTGCAAGTCATAGGAACCAGTCATTTTATGTCTGGTATCGTAAGTGTTCCTTGATGACCCTATTTAGGAGGTCCATATGATTGTTCATCTGTGGTTAATAGGGGTTGAATATGTGGATATAGACATGGAGGGCTCTGAAAACGACTCTTCAAATTTAGGACAAAAATCAGTCTCCATTCTCATAGTCTATGGTTAGGAAGTTCACTCTTAGAACTAGTGTAGCAGAGCCATTGTTAGAAAAATTGTCCAATGCAGGTATTATTTTCATCACTGAATTCGTATGCTCAGTAACATGTGGCCCTGAGAGGGAATAGGTTCAATATGGAGTCTAAAGTGATGGGTTCCTGGGCACTTTAGGGGATTGGAATGGTGTGCTCCAGTGATCTTTTGTGGCATAACAAATCACTCCAACCCTAGTGATATAAATAAACAACCACTTTACTAGGCTCCTGTGGGTCATGAACTCAGAGCAGAGCAGGGATGCTTGTCTCAGTTCCATGATGCTTGAGCCCTCATCTGGGAGGGTGACTCAAGTGTCTTGGAGTTGGAATCATCTGTCAGTTTCTTCGCTGAAATAACCGGTACTTGAGCTGGATGACTCAAAGGCTGCACTCAGCTGCGACTGTTGACTAGATTGCTTCTCCATGTGGCTTAGGCTTTCTGGAAGCGTGGTGTCCTCAAGGTAATTCATCTTTTTACATGGTGGACAGGAATCCAAGAGTATTCCAGAGAACAAGGCGGACTCTTGGAGAGTCCTTTTTCTGATGACCTAGCATCACTTCTGTTGTACTCCATTTTTCAAAGCACACATATTCCAACCAGCTTCAAGAGGAAGGTACTTAGACCCCACATCTGATGAAGGAAGAAATTGCAGTTTTAAAATGGTCACAATGTGTACTGCCTCTTAGGATTCTCAGAATTCCTTCTGGACCAGGTTCAGATCTCATATAGCTCTGAACAGTGCAAGCCTTCTGCCAAATTTGAGGCTATCAGTAGTTAAGGCTTAAAGAGAGTCTGGTGAACTGCAGCAGGATCTTTGTGATACAAGGGACCTCTGTCCACCAAAATGTATAGATGGCTATGACAGTTTAGCAGGCCTCTTCTGTTTTTACCCTTCTAGAGCTGGGAGTACATAGTTCTGGTACTTCTTCCAGCTTTGCTGGTCATACATGGCTACTGTCTTCTTTCTGACACACAAATCTGATCCTTTTACATACTTGCTTACAAAAATCTTTTAAGGAGTTCTTGTCATCTCCAAGATAAAGTCTAAGGCTATTAGCATCACATATAACTCCTCTGTGATTTGGCCTTGACCACTGAAAACTCAGATGGCTATGCTATTATCCAAAATATGAAAGGCAGTATTTATATAATTACTGATTTAAATCCCAGCTCTGCTGGGACTCATTCTTTTCCTAGGGTACAAGGTCTCAGTTGAGGCTGGTGTACAACAAAAATGGCCTAGTTTCCACTCATTTCTCTGCTCAGTTAATTCTTGAGCTGCCTAAGCCTGCAGATGGGTTCTAGTTCTGGAGTCAGTGCTCTTCCTTGACCTTTGGTCCTTTGACAGCCCATTGATCCTGACTCCTCCAACCCTCCTGATGAATTGTTTTTCAGGGGTCTTGTCCTTTTGGGCAGTGTTTCTGCTCTTAAGGCCTCCCAGTCTATCACACATTTTAATAACTTTCACTCTCAAAACACTGAAGAAAGAAGTAAGACACCCTTTTGTCCAGAGACTCCTCTGTCTATATAGTTTTGGATGTCTAACTATGCCCAGCAGCATCTAAAGACCATAGAGCAATCAATAAGTGTGTCTGATACAACTTAAACTGTTTATAGGACCTGAGCCCAGTTCCTGATTCAGGCAAATGTCCTAGATCATCTGCATTCGATTTCAGGGGATTCATGGATCCCTTGAGGTAGGGTTGCTGGATAAAGTGTAGATGCCCAGTTAAATCTGAATTTTAGTTAAACAATGAAGAGCTTTTTAGTGTAAGTTTGTCCCATGCTATATTTGCATGGATAGTTATGTATTTCTGTGGGAAGAGGTTCAAATAGTCTCAAAAGGTCTGTGTCAAGGAACTCCTGATGCACGATTTGCTGGAGTGATGGTGTGCTTGAGTGACTTGGAAAACTATTGCATATAACAATACTTTAAGAACTCTTTGTTGTTTATCTGAAATTCAAATGTAAGTGGGTATTTATTTTTTTTACTTGCTAAATCTGGCAACCCTTTCTTAAGGTCAATCACAGCTTTCCTAGTTCATGGATTATAGAGTAAGAACTGGTATAGACTAAGGACTAAGTGTGTTTCTTTTTTACCAGATTATTTAACCCTTTAACACTGAAATACCAAGGTGAACTGGAAGAACCACTTCCAATTCCTTCATCTCTAAATGTTAGGACATTATTATCATTACTGTCTTCAGGTTTTATATTTACAGAGTGGCTATGAGATTGACAGTGTCACCAATTATGGCCAGTTATTTCTTTGTAAATTCCTAGAGCAGAAAGATGTTGCATAAAGTTCTTGCAGTTACAGACTTGGAAAGTTAAGTTATATAAACAACAGATGTTCAGGATGAGGAAGGAAGAGAGCTGAAACAACTACCCTCAATTATTCAACAATCCCCTGGGATCAGGACTAGAACTATAGAAAACTGAAATCTTAATTTCTATTTGACCATTAAGTCCTATGATTGGCCACATTTTAGCTCTTTTCCTCTCACCACTATTTGTAATTCCACAGTCAGTTCCTAGGCAGTTCTTCTACAGCAAGATTTTTCTTTCTTTCTTTCTTTTCTAAATTCTGTTTGGAAAAGAAAACATGGTAAAAAGTTTAAACAGTGGGAATGATTATACAATGAAAAGCAGGTCTCCCTTCCCTCCTGACCCCAATGCAGGATTTGTTGAAGGGACTGATGTACCCAGTGACTCGGGACCGGCAGGTAAAAACTCAGAATAACTCGTCCCAGGGCAAAAGGTCTCCCCACGCACCAAACCCCAGACCCCTTGGAAAGAAAGTACGTCCCCTGTGGATAGATCACCGCTCTTGCCTTCCCAAGTTTTTCTCCTGCCGCATTCCTTCCCTCCAGCGCGTCGGCGCCCGCTGACGTCACGACGCTGCACACGCAGTCCCGCCCCTGCAGAGATCGGCGCTGGGACGGAACCTGGGTTTCTCTCAAACCCGGAGTGGGAGGCCGCGGCTGGGTTCTCTTTGCTCCCCGCGCGTGTGCTTACCCGGGCCTGCGTCCGCCGCCGCTGCCCACAGCTCGCCGGTGGAGGAGGCAGGGCGGCCGCGCCTTTCTTCCGCGGGCCCGCGTGGCTCCTGCCGCCCCTCCGAATCCTCCGGGGCCGCAGAGGAGTTCGCTACGGAGGGAGGCGGGGGCCTTCGGGAGGAGGAGGCGGAGGAGGCGGAGGAGGAGGGAAGGAAGATGGCGGCCGTGGAACTAGAGTGGATTCCAGAGACTCTCTATAACACCGCCATCTCCGCTGTCGTGGACAACTACATCCGTTCCCGGCGAGACATCCGCTCCTTGCCCGAGAACATCCAGTTCGACGTTTACTACAAGGTACGGACCGTGGGCCTGTTCCCTGCTCTCCTGCCGCAACCCTGGGGCCGCACCCCCTTCCACGTCTGCGAAGCCCCACGGTTAACCCCTCACCCCTCGGAGCAGGATCGCCTCCCGAGACATCTGGTGTGGCCTCGGGGTTGCCAGGATAGAAATATCCTGCCTCCGGGTCCTGTCTCTCAGGTTCTCGGGCCTCGATTAGTATCTTCCTAAAGTGTCTGCCCCCCTTTTGGTGTTCCTCCTGCACTGTAGCACCCCTGGGTAGGCATTTTGCGTGGACTTTCTCTGTTGCGCGCGTCCCACTCAGTCCTTCCCTTCTAGCCGGTGTCGTCTAGATATTTCTTACCTCTCTTTCCAGTTGTCAGCATCAGCTGAACTTTTTGCCCCGCCAGCCATCCCCTTCCTACTTCCCTTGCCACCCTCCTAAGTATTTTTTTTCTGCTTCGTTTTCCTTCGTTTTTCCTTTCTTAGCCAAATCGAGAGGTAGTTGAATTATTGTAGTCTTGTGCCTTATTCGCACATTCCTTAAAACTTTGGTTGTTATTTATACTTGGGGATGATTTGAGGTGTTTATTAATATGGGAGTGGTGATAAACTATTTGAAAGGAAGGTAAAAAAAATCTTTCCTGAAAGAAAAAATACTTTGAAATTTAAATTACGTTCATGTATTTGAAAGTTGCAATGCTGCAGCGTTCCTAAATTGCTCCCCTTCAAAAATCTGAATAGAAAGTATCCAAGTCACTCTCCAAGGAGTTTCAAGGTTAAGTGTCTTCAGACGTGGACAATTTTTTGCAGTGTTTGGAGAGGGAGGAGAACTTTATGGACTTGGAGCCTCCCTTTTCCTCTTCCCCCACATTTGAATGTGAACAGTGGATTTATTATTTAGTACCCCCTGCCTTGAATAGGGTCGATAACTCCTGTCCTTCAGTAGCCACTCATGCAAAATTTGACCAGAAGTAGAATATGATTTACTTTTTTAGATCTGAAATACTTCCTCTTGGTTTGCAGATTGGCTGGAACACTGAACTGATATTTAACAGATGTGTATATTCTTATATATATATGGTGTTTTATGGCAGTTGTTTTATTGGGAAGATTGCCCGCCTTCTCCACCCCAGCATATTTTTTCAGAAAACAGCTGACTTGCAGCATTCTACTAAATCCAGCTGCTTTACAACACTTCTAACAGTGAAAATGTGGGGGTTTTTCTCTCCCCTAAATATTTGGAGAAAATTGATTTTGGTCATTCATATTACTGTGGGGGTGCGGGGTCGAGGGTGTAGAGGAAACTTTCCTTCATTCCAGATCCCTTTGATGCGTTGATTTACTTTTGTGTATATCTAAGGAATTTTGTGTATTTAAGATTTATTACTCCCAAAGAAGGATGAGTTAGATTAGTTTTTCGCAATTTGGGAAACTGCAGCTTTGTGTGTGTGCTGTGATTAAATCTTAATGTAATCTTTTACACTTTTTAGAGAAAATCATTGGAAATTTAATCGAAGTATATTTAGTAGTTGAATTCTCTCAAAATACTTGGCTATTTTCTAGTAACTTTTGCTTCTAATGGAAGCTTTTCATTTGAAGAAGGTTATTATTGGTGTGAACAGATAGTGCTTTTGTTACATTTTCTGTTTCACGTAATTCACAGTTTTAATATTGCTTCTTTTTGGTACACTTGTCCTTAATAGTTGTATGTCTTTTGGGAGTGTGGCACTTCCACTGAGAAGGAAGGTATTTAACAGTTAAAGGTGCCTGCAACTGTGTTAATGCTTTTACACATGTTGGCTTGTTTTAAGCCTCAAAATTAAACTGTAAAGTAGGGTATAACCCTGTGTTAAAGGTGAGAAAGTTAAATCATTTAGTCAAAGTCTCATAGCTAGTATTTACTTCTTAAATTCATTGCTTTCGGAAAGCTTTTGCATCTTTAGGTACTAGATCGTTTTGATGGTAGACACTGTAAAACTAATGTTTGATGAAATCTTGAGGTACAGTGAAAGTCAATGCCTAGAACTTGAGACTTTAATGGAAATACAAGAAGGAATTTTTCTTGCTTTTAAACAATGTATCAACGCATAAATATAAGATACTCAGACCCTGCCCGATTTGTAAAAATTTTAAGAGGCTTATTATTTACAGTTCCCAATTTTCTCTGATTTAGAGCCAAGGAGAAACTCATAATCAGATCCTTCCAGCAGTCCCAACTTCCATCAGTAGGCATAGTCAGAGATAAAATTGTAGTATTTATGGAACCAAAAATTCATCCCTTTTGATTTTTTTACTTTAGTGTCACTATTAATTTTGTCAGCTTCAGGTGAAGGCACTCAAAGCTTTAGAAGATAGGGTTTGTGGAATGAATAAGGGTGATAAAGTAGGCACGCTGACTACTCCCTAAGAAAGGAAGAGAGGTGTTGAAACAGAAAGGGTGAAATGTGAAGGGATTTTTTTTCTTTTTAAAGAATGGAAAACATTAGAATATATTGATTGGTTAAATGGCAGAAGCCAAAAGAATTAGAAGTTGAATATACAAATAAGGTGGGAAATAAATTGTGGAATAGAGTCCCTGAGCAGGAGCATTAATTAATGAGTCTTGCCCCTTCCTTCACTGGATAAATCAAGACACGAGTCTTAAATTGAAGTTAGGGAAAGAATACTTCTTCCTCTAAGATCAGATGGGAAGAGAGACATGAAATATCAATGTAAGTTTGCAAAAAATCATGATCACAAATAAGGAGGTAAGATCATCTGCTGAGAACAAGGGATAGAAATGGTAGCTTTTACGTAGGAAGCCTAAACTGAAGTTGAAAATGACTGCTGAGGTATATAGGAAGAGAAATTCACCAAAAATAAGTTTAAAAAAAAAAGTCGACAGGTAGTAAGGATGGTTCAGTGCAAAATAATGTCCGAATCTAAATGGTTTTTTTCCCAAGGGCTTTCAACAGTCTGATAGTAGAAATGAGTAAGATGAATAAAAGGAATTGTAAAATTGTATCCCAAGTGAAAGCAACTAGAGCTAGAACACAGGGCTGGGTTCTTTTAAGAAGAAAGGCTATGACCTTTTTTTTTAAAACTGCTGAATTGCCCATTATGTATCCTGTTCCACTTATAAATAAAATTTTGCCATAGAGTTAAGTTTTGGCTAGGTCAAGTTTTTCAGTAATGTGTTCTATTTCTGTTTTCAGTCTTAAACTGAATGATTTTGTTTTTTATTATTATTTTGAGTCTCATTCTGAAAACCATATGAATTTAATGTGTGATTTAGTATTAAGAGTTTTTTCTGTGTATATTTCTGTTGTATAGCTATGTACAGACTAAAACTCTGAAAATCTTTTGAAATTGACTGGTAACAAGTTGAAGAAAATTCTTACAACATGTTTGACAGCCAAAGAATTAGTATCTTTTCATGTTAAGAGCTCTTATGATTAGTAAATTGACAGTGAAATTTTATGGGGGAGGAACATGAAAGAACATAAATATCCAGCCATACCATGTATCTGGATGAGAAGGTGTAAGTAATGTTATAAATATGTCAACTTACCTCAGTTAAAGCTGTGAATTTATCACAACATGAATCAGACTCTCAGAATTTTTTTGGGTATAAGAAACTAATTAAATAACGAAGTTCATCTGGAGGAATTAATTACATGAGACTGAGCCAAGGAAATTTTGAAGATGCACAATACTTAGAGATATGCATTATAAGATAGTCATATTTAAACAGTGTAGCACTGGCACAATAACAGCAGAGAGAATTTGATTTCTAGAACATAGTAGACAGTTTAGATAGAAACCAAAGCATATTTAAGAATTCATTATATGATCAAGTTAGGAGGTAATGCCACATTTTAAATAAATGGGAAAAATATCCAAAAACACCTTGGGGAGCTGACTGGAGAAAAAGGCCTTAACTTCACACTTTATACCAAAATGAATACCAGGTGAATTAAATATTTATGTATTTTTTCTTTTTATGAATAAAAATTTTAAATTGGCAAATAAAATCATAAAAATATTAGATAAATTATAGGGTCACTATCTTGCAGTGGAAGATGACTGAAATTTCCTCTCTAAAGAAACTATTTTTAGGGTAATTTACAAATTTAAATAATGTCAAATATAAAAATAAGTAATGTAAAAGGTGAAATCATCTGTTATTCATCTTGCCAATACTGTAATGCCATCTTGGCATGGAGAAGGCTTTTCTAAGCATGAAACCAAAACCCTGGAGGAAAAAAAGAAATTAATACTTTTTTTTTTGGTCTCATTAATCTACAATTACATGAGGAACATTATGTTTACTAGACTCCCCCCATCACCAAGTCCCCCCCACAAACCCCATTACAGTCACTGCCCATTAGCATAGTAAGATGCTGTAGAACCACTACTTGTCTTCTGTGTTGCACAGCCCTCCCTGTGCCTCTCCCCGCACATTATACATGCTAATTGTAATGCCCCCTTTCTTTCCTTCCCTCCTTATCCCTCCCTCCCCATCTATCCTCCCCAGTCCCTTTCCCTTTGGTAACTGTTAGTCCATTCTTGGGTTCTATGATTCTGCTGCTGTTTTTTGTTCCTTCATTTTTTTCTTTGTTCTTATACTTCATGTATGAGTGAAATCATTTGATACTTGTCTTTCTCTGCCTGGCTTATTTCACTAAGCATAATACCCTCTAGCTCCATCCATGTTGTTGCAAATGGTAGAATTTGTTTTTTTCTTATGACTGAATAATATTCCATTGTGTATATGTACCACGTCTTCTTTATCTACTGATGGACACTTCGGTTGCTTCCATTTCTTGGCTAT